TGAGATTATAGGCATGCACCACTACACCTGGCTAATTTTCGTATTTTTAATAGAGACAGGTTTCACCATGTTGGTCAAGCTGGTCTCAAACTCGTGACCTCAAGTGACCTCCCACCTTGGCCTCCCACAGTGCTGGGATTACAGGTGTGAGCCACCGCACCCAGCCCAGTCACTAGTTTTAAAATCTCACACCACTATCATCTCCAATACTCCTTTTTTAAGCCTGCTTTATCTTTTCCCATAGTATTTCTTCATCTAACGTATTACAAAGAGGCAGTATAGCATTATAGTTAAAAAAACAAACTGAAGCCAAATTGCCTGGGATTATATCCCAATTCCACTTCTAAGCTGTAAGATCTTGACTTCTCTGTTTCGTGTGTGTGTGCGTGTGTATTTAAAGTGGAATGGTTTCTGTCCATTAGAACAGTACTTTGCACATAGTAATATGTGTACACCATTGTTGTATTATTAGTAGTGACTAATTAATTTTATTCTCCTTATCTCCCATTGGAATATAAATTCCATGACAGCAGAGGGGTTTTTTTGTTTGTTTATTTGTTTTTTGTTTTTTTTTACTTTCTTCACTGCTGTATTCACAGCTTCTAGAACGGTGCCTAGCACATAGTAGACAGTAAATATTTGTTGATCAAATTATGTTATTTCTGGAGTGATGAGGATAAGAAGGGTCAAGGAAGATGAGGTATATGTGTACTGTTTAAAACTTTTACAAAGAGAATGTACTCATGTATCCTTGTGCCCCAAAAAGCTTCATAGGCTTGCATGGAAAATAGACATATAGACAAATAAATTACAACATAGTATATTTACAAGATATGGAAGAACGAGTAATAACTCTAAGGGGAGGGCAATGCAGTTGAGGAAAGCTTCCTAGAGGAGTAATAACGTGAGAGTTGGGTTTTTAAAGGTGCATAGTTCCACCAAACAAAGTATGAGACAGATGTGACAGCCTTCGAATAGTAGGTGCAAAAGCAAAGAAGTATGAAACACAGCAGTGGCTCTCAAAACTGCAAGCAGTGGAAGTTGAAAGGAGAGGTGAGGAGCGTTTTCAGTGTTTTGAGCTATTAAAACTTTCATCTTATCCTTCTCCCTTACCCACTCCCATACTCCTAACATCTCCAAGTAAGTGTTTGGCTGTAATTAGGAGCTTATTACTCCATTACGGCAAATATCTTGGGGTTTTTCTCATTATTTTCCTGAAAGTCTTTTCCTATTTTTCTGCTCCCCACAAGCTCCATTTTTTTAATATATTATTATACCACTGTTCAGGTTCTAGATTCCCCTTGGTGTCTTTGGTATAAGAAATTCACATGTAATTTTTACCTGTGGAGTATAGTGAAAAAGGAGGAAGACATATCCTTAAATTATATACACATACACACACATAGTTTTGTTACAGTGTGGTAGCTTTGTTTAGGAATAGAAACACAGTTGTTCAGCTGAATTATCTTAGTAATTAATATTTTTAATCCTATAAACGTTGGTCTCTAGTCCCGTACCAACGAGCTAAGTGAAGAAGCTTGCTTTTCAGTGTGTGACTTAAGACTTCTCAAGGTTGACTTTTTAAAATCAGGGTTGGGCCGGGCGCGGTGGCTCAAGCCTGTAATCCCAGCACTTTGGGAGGCCGAGACGGGTGGATCACAAGGTCAAGAGATCGAGACCATCCTGGCTAACATGGTGAAATCCCGTCTCTACTAAAAAATAGAAAAAACTAGCCGGGCGAGGTGGCGGGCGCCTGTAGTCCCAGCTACTCGGGAGGCTGAGGCAGGAAAATGGCGTAAACCCCAGAGGCGGAGCTTGCAGTGAGCTGAGATCCAGCCACTGCACTCCAGCCTGGGTGACAAAGCGAGACTCCGTCTCAAATAAAAAATAAAATAAAATCAGGGTTGGGGTTCTGCTTTTTTCCACCCACCTTCCTTCTATACATGGAGTCAGGAAAACACCCTTGATAACAACACAAACCAAAAAAGCAGTAGCGTTAATCCACTCTGTTAGTTTCTGGCACTGCCTCTGTTTATACTCATATTGGATTGTGATTGTGTATCTGTCTCTGAGAGTCCCTTAATGTAGGAATCATAACTAAGGTGTTCATTTGTACACCTAGTTCAATGCCTCATTCATAATGGATGCTCATTAAACATTTGTTGAATTGGATTGAATTGAACTGAATTGAACTGGACTATGGCACCACAGGAGAAGGGAATTTTTGAGTTCACTTTTAATGAGATTAATTTAAAACGAATTTAGAAAGAAAAATTATTCTTTTGTTTTGTTTTTAAACATAATCTAAATTTGGGGTACAGCTACCAATATGTTCATTCCCCATAATTTTTTAAGCATTCTGAGCAATGACTCATCAGAGTCCCCAAATAGATATATTTTTTTTAAGTCACAGTGGCCCTAGGAAACAAAATTAGGCTTGGTAAATATAAATAGTAAGTGTGTTCTCATTATAGTCAGGAATGTGGGGTCTTGTTGATATACAGAGGAGGATCTTTAGTTCCTCCCTTTGTAGCAGAGTTGGAAATGAACCAAATATCCCCTGATAAATTCCTGTAGGGTTTCCCAGCACATTTATTTCATTCTTTCCAGAAGTCACCAAGACTTGTTGTGTTATTGTTTAAAAACAAAAAAAAAATCAGTGCTACTTCATTTCCTAACACTTGTTTTCTGACCTGCAATTGTCTCCAGTCCAACTGGCCAAAAAGCCAGGCCAAAGATGTCTGTATTTCCGCAGAGAAACAAATGGACTTAGCTTCTACTCCTTTCCCTCTACTTTGCAATGTTTTCTTTTGCAAAGGAGTTTGGAATTTAAATTCTCCAAGCCCAGAATCTTTCAGTCTAAAACTGCAAAACAATGGTAATAAGATACCTGGTCATTCCTCCAGTCCTCTGTCTTTTAAATATCTGCTCTGAGAGAGAGTCCTGAGCATCCAAATAACTTTTGTTGTTGTCGTTGTTGTTGTTGTTGTTGTTGTTGTTGTTGTTGTTGTGACAGGGTTTCACCCCTGTCGCCCAGGCTGGAGTGCAATGGCACGATCTTGGCTCACTGCAACCTCTGCCTCCTGGGCTCAGGCGATTCTCCTGCCTTAGCCTCCCAAGTAGCTGGGACTACAGGCGCCTGTCTAATTTTTGTATTTTTTATAGAGATGGGGTTTCACTATGTTGCCCAGCCTGGTCTCGAATCCCTGGGCTCAAGCGATCCACCCGCCTTAGCCTCCCAAAGTGCTGGGATTACAGCGTAAGCCATCGCACCCATCCATCCAAATAACTTTTATATTATAAAGAGGGCTCTCTTGCCAATGGGTAGCTATTTTATTCATTTACTCAGCATAACTTTATTGGATACCTCTGTGTTAAGCCCTGGAGATCTAAGGTGAGTAAGACTTCCCCCTACCTCCCAAGAAGCTCACAGTCTATCTTGGCAACAATTATACAGTGCTGAGATAGGAGTGGGATAAAGTAATAATAGTAATTAGTTCAGCATGGAGGAGTCTGGAAGCGCTTTACAAAAAAGTGACATTTATGTATTTATATATGTATGTATGAATGAGACCATGCCTGGCCAGAAAAGTGACTTTTAATCCTTAGTCTTAAAGAAAAAGGTTCCTGCCAGGCGCAGTGGCTTACACTTGTAATCCCAGCACTTTGGGAGGCTGAAGCAGGTAGATCATCACTTGAGGCCAGGAGTTTGAGACCAGCCTGGCCAACATGGTGACACCCCTGTCTCTACTAATAAACTACAAAAATTAGCCAACATGGTAGCGCATGCCTGTAATCCCACCTACTCAGGAGGCTGAGGCAAGAGAATCGTTTGAACCTAGGAGGCAGAAGTTGCAGTGAGTCGAGATCACGCCATTTCAGCAGAGAAAGAATAGCCCTACATTTCAAACATAGGACATAGTAAGAATAACTACTTGAAGTATGAAAGCTCATGACATGTTTAGGAACAGTGAGTTGTTGGGCATGGATGGCATAGAGGCTGCACTCTGAGAGATGGAATAGACCAGTGGGAAGCAATATTGTATGATGCTGAAAGGCACAGAATCTAGAGCCTGGGTTTGAGTCTCAGCTGAGCCACTTACTGTCTGTTGTGACCTTGGCAAGTCACTTAACCTCCCCTCTATAGGTTTGCTTCTTCGTTTTCTTAAAATGAGGATAATAGTAGCATCTGTTTGACAGGGCTGCAGGCATATATGCATATATATACACATACGGCTTTAAAAAGTGCTCAGAACAAAATGAATATAAGTATTCATTATTAGGCCACATTATGAAAGGCCTTGAACTGTACATTTTCCATAAGTAAAAGAAAGGTTTTAAAGCAGAAGAGGGGAGAGTATATAACAGGATAAAATCTGTATTTTGTTTTATTTGTTAATTTTTTTTTTTTAAATTAGAGACAGGGTCTCGCTCTGTTGCCCAGGCTGGTCTCGAACTTCTGAGCTCGAGCAATCTACCCGCCTCAGCCTTCTAAAGTGCTAGGATTACAGACCTGAGCCACCACACCTGGCTTGTAATCCGTATTTTAGATAAGTAACTCTGGTGCCACTCTGGAGAGTACATTGGATAAGGAAGAAACTAGAGACAACATACAAGCTCTGAGACAGTTTCAAGAGTATAGATAACAGGTGCTGATGTAACATGGTATTGAGTTAATATAGTGGCCTTGCCCTTAAAAATTCTGGGTTCCCAAATAGAAACTTCAAACTTGAAATGTTAGTCTTAATAGACCTTACAAATTTAATTCTAAAAAAAAAAACAAAATGAAGACCCTGGGGAAGAGCACAGAAGGACTGTCCTTGCAGTATGGATGTTGTAGTGCTCAACTGATGCTTCCCTTCTATACCCAAATATCAGACCAGTACCTCTTGGCTACTATTCATGATATATTTTCATCTGGTTAGCTGTCCAGAGCAAGACATTCTATTTTTGGAGATGCTTTTGTTTTTTCTTTCAAGTAACCTCAAACTACTTATCAGTTTCCTAGAGGAAGTTCTGGCTTCTGGACTGCACAGCCGAAGCAAGGAGAGCTCTCAAGTCACATCAAGGTCAGCGAGCAGAAGATGAAACAGTGGTTGGGGGAAGGGCACAGCTTCCTCTCTCACCCCCACTACAGGCTTTCCCTACTAATCAGAGGTATTGGAGAGCAGCTTTGGGTTCTGTGCTGGTTGTTAGAACTCATCTCCAGGTAGCCCACAGATTTGTGGTTGGCACAGACACACGACTCCCAGAGTTGACCCAACAATATGTCTGAGCCCGTCTCAACCCACTTTTCTCTGGTAGTCTTTATGTATCTGTTAGCACAATCACTTCAGTTACTGATGAATTTTGTTGGGATCTGACGTGGGGAAAGGGTTATCAGAGCCTAGAGGGGCTTAAAAAGTAATCATTTGATGTACATACCACATTCCTTGACTTCCTTTCTCTTCCCTTGACCCTTTCTGCTTTTCAATAACCACATTCCTGCACAACTTATTTCTGAAAACCTACCATATTTCTTTATAGAGCCATCCAAAATTTTTTGTCCCTACATAGCAATTTTCTGTGGCACTGAGAAACCATGTATGACCACAATAAAAATCCATTTTGTGAAAAGATATGGGTGATTTAGTTTTATTTCTTTGGGGCTAATTTATGGGAATTTATGAGGTGGGACATGAGCTTTTTTCACACCGAATATAATGAAGGCATTACCTCTACCTGAAGGATATTTAAAGTATGTCAAGGCAAATAATAAATTCTGGTGTCAATTTCACCTCTCTTGAAAACAGGATAAACCGATAGTATCATTATTGCCAGGAAATTAAGGTATCCTCAAATCATCATAGCAAAAATACCAAAGCGCAATCCCTCCCTGGTGTGTGTGTGTGTGTGTGTGTGTGTGTGTGTGTGTGTGTGTGTGAACTTGTATGTTGATAAATATTCTCTAGCATCAGACAGCAAGGGCCAAATCAATGTCATATTTATATGGCTTTGGGAATGTTATTTAGCCTCTTTGTGGCTCAGCTTTCTCATTTATAAAACAGAACCTTCCTCATAGGATTATAAGAATTAAATGAGATGAGATGATACATGAAAAGTGCTTAAAACACTGGTGTACAGTAATCAATAAAATGTAGCTAATAGTAAATAAGATTAATTTCTGTACAGAATCACATGTAAAATGACTGGACTAATCATTTTAATCATTGCACATCTAATCATTGCACTAATAAACATTTCAAAAAATAGAGGGAAAAGCTGAAAGGTCATTCTGTCCCTCTTTTCTCCACTCCTCCCAGCTCTCAGCTGTTTGGTTGTTTTTTTTTGTTTGTTTGTTTGTTTGTTTTTAGTAGAGATGGGGTTTCACTATCTTGGTCAGGATGGTCTTGAACTCCTGACCTCGTGATCCACCCACCTCAGCTTCCCAAAGTGTTGGGATTACAGGCGTGAGCCACCACACCCGGCCTCAGCTGTTGTTTCTTTACACACACTCATGAAGTAAAATCCAAGCTAAAATCCAAGGTGTTTGTTTTTGTTTTTGGCTTTTGTGGGTCCCTTTGGGTAATTTTTTCTTCTTCATTTTTTATAAGTCTTTGAGACAGCCTGCACTTGGGGATGGAGTATTTTAAATGCAGCATTTTACAAGTTATATAGTGTTTTAAAATATGAAAAACTCCCTCCTCCAAGCAGGAATATCTGTGCTTCTCTTCTTATCGCCAAGATAACGCTGTGGAATAAAAAAAGCAAAAACAGAGACCTTCCTTATATCATTTTCCTCATTATTCATCTGCTTCCATTGTGCCTACTCAACTGACAATATCAAGAAGTCTAAGAAATGAGCCCTACTATCAGGGTGTTTGATGTCAGAAGTTGGCATTTCTTTATTAAGAATCAAAGACTCATATTTTTGTGTAAGATTTACAGAGCTGATTCCATTATTACTGGCCCTTTATTTTTGTGCCCTTTAAAAACATCACTTTAATTAAGGTCTTACATGCTTTTAATAATCCTCTCCCCCATAAGTGGAAATGCCCTGGTCAAAACCTCTGTGTTCCATTTACTCCACAAAAGCCAAGGATATTTGTTTTTAGACAACTGTGTTTGAATAACAGTTTCCGCCCAGTAAACTTGCAAGCAGTTCACAAGTTTTTATCTCTAATAGTTCCCTTTCTCCCTTAAGTTATAAAATATTCTGTTATAGAATACAGCTACTAGCAGTCGCATCTTATCCTCAGATGTTGTTAGGGAGGTACCCCCATCATGAGGTCGTCCCAGTGTCTTATCTCCACCACAGGCAGAAACTGACTGAGAGTGATTTCTGTGGTTTATATGTGTGTAGTGTCAAGCTCACTGAGGAACGCTGAGGAGACAGCGCTATAAAAATGTGTAAAGGAACCCATACGTTCTCAGATTTCTCACTTAAGCATTGGTCTTTGGAAAACAGTCCGACCTACATCCCAATTCAGGTACCACGAAGTTCACCTGGTGAGGCAAATCAGCTTCAAGAATAGGCCAGAGGAAGAGGAAAGGGGTGAGTGACAGGACAAAGGGAGAACAGGTGAACGAAAGTAGGGACAGGATCACAGGATGGAGCAGGGCAGAGAAAGAAAGGATGCCAGAGATTTATATAACATCTTAAGAGAGCAGACAGGCAGGGAAGGTTCTGCAGCCCACATGCATCTGCTCTGGAATCTGAAAATTACTTTGGAGGGTTTTTCTTTTTCATTAGCCCCTCTGCCTGATGTTTCACAATGCTCTGGCACCTATCTGATGCAGCACGAAAGGAACCCTGGACCTCACATATAGGAGGCACTCAAATATTTGTTTTATCTATATCTAGTCTATCATCTATCTATCTATCTATTTTTTGGAGTGGAATTTTCACTCACGCTGCCCAGGCTGCGTGCAGTGCTGCGATCTCGCTCACTGCAACTCTGCCTCCCCAAGTTCGAGCAATTCTCCCTGGCCTCAGCCTCCCAAGGTACTTGGGATTTACCAGGCTGTGTGCCACCCACATCTGCCTTTTTTTTTTTTTTTTTTTTTTTTTTTTTTTGTATTTAGTAAGGAGATGTGAGTTTCGCCATGTTGCAGGGCTGGTCTTGACACTTCTGACCTCAAAATGATCCACCCGCTGGCCTCCCAAATGCTGGAGTACGCCGGAGCCACCACGCCGCGCACCAATATATTTTGACTATTGGAAAGGAGGAAGATGGGGCAAATGATGAATTACTTTTCCCCATAAATTCAGAATCTATTTAAATGATAAATTCTAAACCACTCCATGTGTTTTGTCCAGCCAAACCCTCAAAAAATCATCGGCTATTCTCACCAAGTACATCTGGACATATTGCTTCCTCACATATGAGACATCCTGATTTCTCCATTTTTTTTCAATCGCTCCTTTAAAACAGGGGTTAGAACAAAGACGAACATTGGGGGGCCCGGCGCGGTGGCCTCACAGCCTGTAAATCCCAGCACTTTGGGAGCCGAGAGGAAAGCGGATCCACGAGGTCAGAAGATCATAGACCGTCCTGGCTTAACGGGTGAAACCCGTCTCATTAAAAAATACAAAAAACTAGCCGGGCGAGGTGGGGCGCCTGTATCCCACAAAAAAAGAAAAAAAAGAGGCTGATGGCAGGAGAATGGCGTAAACCCGGTGAAGCCGAGCTTCCACGTGACGGCCCGAGACAGGCCCACTGCACTCCCAGCCTGCGGCCGACAAGACGCGAGACTCCGTGCTCAAAAAAAAAAAAAAAAAAAAAAATAGAGACATTGGGAAGGGGACAAGATGGTTTGGGGAATGTGGTGTGTGCACACTCATGCCCATGGGAGGGGGTTACAAAATCTGAAGAGGAGACTGCAGTCAGGAAGCTTGGATTCTAATCCATTTAGCCAGTAACTTGATGTATAACTTGGCAAGTCAGTTGATCTGGCATGCCCTGTTTCCTCATTTTCCAAATGAAAATATTAATACTTAATCTATATACCTTACAAGGTGGCACTAAAAGTGTAAAGAAATGACATATAAGAGCATTTTGAAAGGATAAGGTTCTGTGTCAGTCTAAAATCGTGGAATTAATTGGTATGGTGAATGGAAAGAAGTTGAGAGGAATATCATTGGATTAGGAGGAAAGGTGGGACTGGGAAGGGGAGGGAGCCCCTCCTTCATTTGACATACCAGAAAAAGCCAAAACAGCCTCCACTATTCAAACCACAAATTTAGCCAACACTTTTATCTTGAGACATCTCTGGAAAAAGGATTTTTCCTTTTCCCTGCTCCTCAGTGCCAGGGATTTTTATTCATTTTGTGGTTATTGCATGCTTGCCATGTGCCAGGCAATGTGTTTATTAGCCTTTTATTTCAAAATTAGCCCTGGAAGACAACACATATCTTCAAAGGACTCTCAGAGGTCATCTCATATCTTCCCCTAACTACCCCCATCATGAGGTCGTCCCAGTGTCTTATCTCCACCACAGGCAGAAACTGACTGAGAGTGATTTCTGTGGTTTATATGTGTGTAGTGTCAA